TATAATGAAGAGGTGAAATGCAAATTAACCACCACTCCAACACACAAGATGGCTGCCATAAGATGGCCTGCAGGAAGGGCAGTTAAAGGTGAGCAGGCTGACAGAGAAGAGCTGTTGGGGGGGGATCCAGGCCTGCAGGGAAGGGTAGTTGGGGATGACCAGTCTGGCAAGGGAGGGCAGGTAGGGGTGACCGGGCCAGCAAGGAGGGCAATAGGTGATGGCCAGGCTGGCAGGGGAGAACAGTTAGGGGTAACCATGCCAGCAGGGGAGGGCAGTTAAAGGTAACCAGGCCAGCAAGGGAGGGCATTAGGGGCAATTGGGCCTGCAAGGGAGCAGTTAGACATTAATCAGGCTGGCAGGGAAGTGGTAGGGGGTGATCAGTCTGGAAGGCAGAAAAGGTTAGGGGCAATCAGGCATGAAGACAGGCAAGCAGTTGGGAGCCAGCAGTCCTGAATTATGAGAGGAATGTCCAATTGCCGGTTTAGGCCCGATCCCACCGGGCAGTTGGACAACCCTTGAGGGGTCCAGGTTAGAGAAGGTGCAGGCTAAACTGAGGGACTCACACTTCCCCTGTGCATGAATTGCAGGCATCAGGCCTCTAGTGTTATATTCTCCCATGAAAACTTAAACAATGCAAATAGAATCATTTAAGTTAATTAATTTTTGTCTTTCTCTTTGTCTAACCATGAAGGGTCTGCATGGTACATTCTGAAGAGGTTTGTCTAGTTCAGCTTTAAATTACCCCAGCAAAGTGACTTTTATCATTTGGTTTGAAAGATGTATCATTAATCTTTTCTGCCCTCCCCCTTTTATGGGCTCATTTTAATTAAATAAGCAGGGAGATGATAATATTATAAAAACATTATAAAGTGTTAATTTCTAATGTCATTTATGAGCTCTTAATCACACTATTATACTTATGTTTTTGTTTAATGATCCTGACCAGACACAATGAGACCAAGATTACTATGATGAACATCTACCTTTATTTCTGATATGGATGAGGTGGTTTTCCTTTCTGATTAAACATTTCCTTAGAAAGATATTCTATTTAGGTAGAAAGAGTATATATAAAATGTTTCCTTTAGCAGCCAGAATCTTCTTTACTAACCAGTGTTTGATGGTTTATATTTTGATCCTGCAATGAGACAGTTTGAAGCAATTACCTATATTCCTTTGGCCTTCTAACTTCTATGGTGTCTTTCTCTGCTGTTGTTTTAGTCCCCCAATGCTTCTCTTCAGTCAATGGAGTGGGAAATCTTTGGTCTGTGCAGAAATCTCATTCTTTCAAGCAGGTAATACTGCTGTAGTGCATATGCATATAAACCAATTGCAAGGGCTGAAAAGAATATAAACATTACAGTGTTCAAGTCTAGTGTTTCTAATGAGTAACTAAGCACACCATCGTGACCCTAAGTTCTCCTCCAGTGTGATATTCACCTGATAGATACAGTAAAACAGTTCAAGGAGAGAAAAACCACAGTGTCATATAGAACACCTAAGGATAAGCCCAAACTGCCTATACTTCTTAATCTTGTGCTCACATTGCTGATCAAAAGGGAAGCACTTGCTCATGGGACACGCTGAGGCCCAGGCAGGAGAAGCTGAGAGTATATGGGACATGTTCTCTGGTCTGTCAGAGAAGTTCCCTGGGAGCAAGTGGAAACATGCATGCCCCTGCTGTCCAAATTTTGAGCTTACATCCTATCATCTCTATCCTCATTCCAAGAGACAAAGCAATAGTAAGATCACATCCCACACCAATGGGGCAGGGATGTTTGCTACTGCCATTAACCACTATACTATATAATTTTGGATTAGTCTAGACATTTTTGAAGTGGCAAAAAAAAAAAAAACTTTTGTTGGCATATTGAGTTTACCAGAATCTAAGGCTATGATCACACATCTTATAAACTTTTAAAATATATATTTTATTGATTTTTACCCTTCAGTCTGCAGGTAGATGCTCTATCCACTGACCCAAACCAGTTTTGGCTAAACTTTTAAATAAAATAAAGAAAATTAACGACATCAAAATTTCAGCATAGTGGCACCATCTCTAACTAATTTACAGACCTTTCCAGCTCCAGTCTGGTTTTGCTTGGAATTATGCATGTGATGTTGATAGCAATGGGAAGAGACTGTAGCTATAGTTATCTCTGGGAAGCCATTGCACTTCCTGTTTCTCAGGTTATCAGTCTTTGAATATTGCAAGGTTATAGAGGGATTTCTAATTTGAATTCTGTTTCACATCTTGTAGTGATTAAGCCATAAAACTGTATAGCTAGCCTGCTTTATGATGTCTCCTAAATTTTCTTACATTAGGGAAATTATAACTTGAATTAAGCATAGACAGTTTGGGCCTATTGTTATGTGTTCTATATGACACTGGTTTCTCTCTCCTTGAACTGTTTCACTATACCTATCATGTAAATGTCACACTGGAGTAGAACAAAATGATGTGCTTGTTCACTCATTAGCAACACTCCTAGATTTGACCACTGTGATGTTTATATTATTCTCTAAGATTCTTCATATAAGAGTTAATATAGACAAATTTCTGAGGCCAAAAGTGAGAAAGAGCATATTGTTCCTGTTTCTCCTTCACCTCTCTCTCTCTCTCTCTCTCTCTCTCTCTCTCTCTCTCTCTCTCTCTT